GGGAACATTAGTTAACACCGAGAAACTCTGTAAACAAATGAACAAACCTTGCGTAGCCAATTATGGTAGAGAAACAACCCACCTTGTGTGTGCTTTATGGAGTTTTACATTGCTCATACATATCGTAGAGGCTCTGCTGAGTTGTGTGGGAAAGAAAACTGTTTTAACTTTGCCTAACCCGGCATTTCCCAGATTTGCTTGAGTATAAAATCTTTTTCCCACTGAATGTCTATTAGTATCTCTTGAAACCAGGATTTTGTGAAGCATTTTTGCAGAAATACAGGTATAGACAGAGCAATTAGAAAAACTAGGGTTTATGGGCATCTGGGTGGATCAGTTGGTTAGCATCTGACTCTTGATTTTGGCTCAGGATATGATCTCGGGGTTGTAAGATTGAGCCCTGAGCCCTTGGTTGGGCTTCAAGCTGGATCCTGCTTAAGATTCTCTCTCTCCCTCTGCACCCCCTCCTTTCTCCCCCCCCCCCCCCCCCCCCTTTCTCTCTGGGGAAAAAAGAAAAACTAGGGTTTAGATATTTAAGCATATATTTGGTAGAATGCTGAGAAATGAATTTTTATTTTTTTGCCATATTTCCTAAATCAGTATTTCATCTTTAATCATTTGAACTTTTTAATGATGATTTAGAGTATTTCACTTATTTGCATGATTGAAATGGGTATTTAATAAAATGGCTATTTTAATATCAGATAACCAAACACTAATGCCTTTTTTCCTAAAGGAGATAGATAAATGCTTTCCAAGATCACAAGCCAAAAGGAAGCAAGTTACAATTTTATTAATCTGTACATGTATTTTACAACTCTGGACTTCCAGTGGGTTTATCATTTCTTAATAGAAATAATTAACATGTATCTGTCAGAATAATGATTCTCAACTTGGGGAAATTTTGTCCCCCAGGAGACACGTGGGATGTCTGTGGATGTTTTTTGGTTGTCACAAATGGGTTGGGGGGTGAGGCTATTGGCATCTAGCTGGTAGAGGGGATGCTTTAAACATTCTACAGTAGGAATGGCAGCCCCCGGCAATAAAGAGTTGTCCAGCCCCAAATATTAATAATGATACTGAGGTTGAGAAGCCCGAGGAAGCAAAGTCTTTGAGAAGAAACAATTTCACCCCAAACTTAGTTCAAGATCGAAAGCGCCCTAAGGCATTATCACATTCCCAGACTGCTAGGTTCAATGACATATTCCCTGTAGGCTTTGTGGCATTCTGTTTGACAACTTGAGTCTAGACTTTGTCATTAACTGAAATTTGACCTGTGCTTCAGTTTCTTTTCCTGGAAAACAAATAGTGAGATGATTGAGAGGTTTCTGGTGACATTGTATGATTCATGAAGAACAGTTCTGAATCTTAAACACTTGTAAGAGAGATGATACTGGGCTTAGGCTTCTGTGGACATTTAACCGTGTAGAGAAGATCTGAATCCAAAGATGTTGCCTCCCTGTGCCTGGACATATCTGGTACAGCCATGTAGTGCTCAGGAGCAGGGCAAAGAATGGCTCATTGTGTCTCCTAGAGAGTCTCATTGATGCCTATTGTTCCACTCATCCCTTATATGAAAGCTCTGATCTCAGCTCGCTCCTCAACAACACCCATCTTTTGGCCATCTCCTCCCCCCCCCCTTTTTTTAGATTTTATTTATTTATTTGCAAGAGAGAGTGAGAGCACGAGAGGGATGAGGGGCAGAGGGAGAAGCAGGCTCCCTGCCAAGCAAAGAGCCTGATGCGGGGCTTGATCCCAGGACCCTGAAATTATGACCTGAGTTGAAGCCAGACAACCCACTGAGCCATGCAGGTGCCCCTCCTCCTCTTTTATTTCACTCACTCAGTTCTCAGGTCTATGTTACCATAAATTTCCCTCTCAAATCCTCCTCTATCTCATGAGCACTGATTTCCAGCAGTCTTTCAGGTATCTCCATAGGGATCACAATCATAATGATGATGGTAGTAGTAATAATAATGAAGTTAGCTAACACTATTGACCTCCTGCTATCGCTCAGGCATTAGGGCAGAGCTCTTTTTTTTTTTTTAAGGTTTTATTTATTTATTTGACACAGAGAGAGGGACAGCAAGACAGGGAACATAAGCAGGGGGAGTGGGAGAGGGAGAAGCAGGCTTCCTGCGGAGCACGGAGCCTGATGCAGGGCTCAATCCCAGGACCCTGGTTACTCAGAGGTTAGCAACTTGTTCAAGATCAAACAATGAGCATATAGTACATCTGGGACAAAAAACTGTTAATATTCAAAATTTCGTGGGTCCTTAATGGATGGATTAGCTTCTTTCTTACATAGCTTATCTTGCTGGGTTCCTTGAAATGATAGACGCCATCCATTAGGCTAGAGCTCTTAAATCCTTCTCTTGTCTCCTTATATTTACAACTGATCAGTTTCCAAGAATTTACTGTCAAATCCATCTTTTCTTTGCCCACCACTCCTCCCGTCATTGCCTCTACTGCTGGTCTTCATCACTTCCTCGCTCCCCAACTGACAGTCACTCCTGAACAGAGTGACCTGCTTCCAAACTTTTCCTCTCTGGTCTTTGTTCGGCTGCCTTATTTCTTCCTATTTAAGCGTCCTTACTCTGGCATTCAGCGCCCTCCATGATGGAGGCCCAACTGTGACATCCCACCTTGACACCCAGAAAGTGGTTTTCACTATTTATCATATCATATACATCTTAAGTTTCTTGAGTTCATTCCTTTTTTTGTTTGTTTTTAAAGATTTTATTTATGTATTTATTTGAGAGAGAGAGTATAAGTGGGGCGGGGTCGAGGGGGGCAACAGAGGAGAGGGAGAAGCAGGCTCCTTGCTGAGCAGGGAGCTTGACATGGAGCTCAATCTCAGGATCCTGGGATCATGACCAGAGCCAAAGACAGGCACTTAACCAACTGAGCCACCCAGGCACCCCTATTTTCTCATTCCTAATGGTAGCTCCAGACCATACTTATCTTGGTTGAGAAAAGCTAGCTTACCTCTTCCTTGCACTTATCAAAGCAACACACAGACTCTTTATTTAGAGGATGTAGACAAGCTTCTTGTGGTACTCAGAATGGATCTGCTTTCCTTTCTTTATTCATGTTTCTTTACCCTAGAATGTCCATTATCTGTCCCCACCATTGCTCTGACTACCAGAAGCTTTTAAAGCCCAGAACTTTCTCTGATAAACCTTCCTCAAGTCAGAAGCATTTATTCTTTCGGTGATCCTAAAGAATATTTTAATGTCTGTTATTCGTATATATTGTAAGGTTCTCAGGCAGGGACACTGTGACATTAATTTTTGCATTTTCTGAGCTATCACCCATTATGGGTTGATATGTATGTAACTGCTTCCATATGGAAAGGGCTCAGTAAATGTTTGATGATAGAATTGTATCTCTTTATAATTGGTTAATGTAGAATGTACATGGAGTACAAGGAAGTAAATTTGCACAGTGCTGAAGTTTTCATTTCAGTAACAATTCATGGATATATGTACAGGGTTATTAATTATGATGTTATTTCTAATAAAATATTGGGAAAAAAAGAATTGTATCTCTTGAAGTTCCTTTTAGTTCTCTGATTCTAAAATTATCAGTCATTATTTATTTCTTTAAATAAAAAAGAATTGCTTTGGGATAAATATTTCTCCCTGAGGGTAGAAATATGTTAAGGGTATTCTACAAACTAAAATTATATAAGGAGTTTAATCACAGTATAATTAAGAGCTAGGGTTTTATGGAAATGCCAGTGAATTTTGCCACAAAAGAATAATGAGCTTCTTTCTTTTGAAAACAATATGATCTGTGGGACATTTCTTTTAAAGGAAGTGGAATTGTGCGTAAAAATGGTCAGCTTCATGAACATTGCAATTAAAAATTGATTTTGTCTTTATTTTCTGTTATGAAAGTAACCCAGACAAGATACTGATGAAGCATGAAGTTAGGACTCAAGATAGCCCATGCATTTATTTTAGTTTGTTTATATTAGTAACTTCAATACTTAGGGATGGAAAAGTTAGCAGTGCAAACCAATATCCAGGTCTCCCTTCTTGGGAATATAGGACTGCTTGGCCTGCTTGGACCTAAGTAGAGCCATGTGATGGTTCTGGCCAACAAAATCTGAATGGGAGTGACATATGACAGTGGAAAAGCCAACATGTTTCTTCCATTTTCTTTCCATCTTAGCAGTCATAGAGGAGACTGTGGGCTGAAATGACAGAAATGCAAGGTTAAAACAGCCTTAATTATATATTCATTTGTTTGTTTTTTGACAAGTAATTTATGTATTTTACCATCAACTTAAAGCAAGAATGAATGAAAGGAGTACTTGGAGGATGAGGCTGATTGAAAAACATTGCAACAGGGGTGCTTGGGTGGCTCAGTCGTTAAGTGTCTGCCTTTGGCTCAGGTCATGATCCCATGGGAATCGAGCCCCACATAGGGCTCCCTGCTCAGTGGGAAGCCTCCTTCTCCCACTCCCACTCCCCTTGCCTGTGTTCTCTCTCTCGCTGTGTCTCTCTCTGTCCAATAAAAACAAAAAACAAAAAACAAAAACAAAAAACCATCGCAACATATCCAGAGTCTAGTTAGAATACTATGGTACCATATAATATAAATAACCATTCAGTGAAATTTCCATTTATTTTAGTAATAAAATTTTTTATTTCTTATATGTGAGTGTACCCATATTTTGCTTTAAAATTAATAATCACAGTTGAATAAGCAGTAGTTTATTTTTCTAATCAAGTGACTGGCCTGCTGAATATTAAATGTTCAACAAATGTTGCATCTTACTATTTTCACCAAACAAGAGTTTCTATTTTGATTATTCCTGGTAAATAATAATTTTTTTTCTCCACTGGTTTCCATCTGCCAAGCAGTTTAGCAGATGGACAGTTTATCATGGCTGTTTTTGCTCTAAGCATTTCTGTCAGATGAATCCTTATTTCCAGAGCAGTAGCTGTTGGCAATCTTTTCTCTAAAGTCCATCCATCAGGACTTCTTTATCATGGTTGGCCAAGGAGTCCTTTGGCTGTCATGTCTTTGTTCTGCTGCACATGATATTCCTGAACTCTCATGGATATTCTTTGCATCATTAAAATATACATATATATTTTTAAAGATTTATTTATTTATTTTAGAGAGGGTTGGGGGGGGGCAGAGGGAGAGGGATGGAGAGAGAATCTCAAGCAGACTCTGCACTGAGCACAGAGCCTGACACAGGGCTCCATCTCATGACCCTGAGATCATGACCTGAGCCAAAACAAAGAGCCAGATGCTCAACCAACTGAGCCATCCAGGTGCCCCTCATTTAAAAATATTTTTAGTGTTCTGAACAGGTGGTATCATTAGTGTTCTGAACAGGTGGTATCATCAGGTTTTACTTCTTTTGTTGTGTGGTCTGTAACATAGTCCAAAAAGGAGGTTTCTGTAAATTTTTTGTGGTCGCCAAGAATTTCCTTATATTGTTTTATCTGATCAGATCCTGGTATTTGTGCAGCCATATTCTTTTGGTACATTTGTTAGCTACCCTTTCTGATGATGCGTGAGTTTCCATTCTGCTCTGGAGAAGCGACCGTTCATTCTTTGCTTGAACGTCTCAGAGGCCTGATGTCTTAAGCATGGGCTTTCCCATCCAACACCAGTGTGAGGCTGGGAAGCTGTACTACCAGTTGAGTCTGGGGGTAGAAGTTCAGGGTCAAGGCAGGCACCAGGCTGCTGGACAGTAGACACTAAAGCAGCCTGAATTTTTGAATCTCCACACGGGGGCGTTGCCCTGGAGAGTTGCCAGGACCTAATGTGGTCATTGCTTGTGTGTGGAATAACTTTCATCTGTTTCAACCAGTGAGATTTTGGATTAACATGTCGCTGAAGAATCATTTGGCCTAATCTGATTTATATAGGTGGCACTGGTAATTACAGTCATTAGAGATAAAAGAAGAAAACTAATAATAGCAGTAGCTAACCCTTATTGGACACTCACTCTCTGGGCTTTGTCTCAGGTGCAGGAATGAATGATCTTATTCAACCCCTATAAATAACCCACTTAACAGACGAGGAGTCCGAGACATAGAGAAATTTTTAAAAAGATTTTTATTTATTTATCTGAGAGAGAGAGAGAGAGCGCGCGCACAAGCAGAGGGAGGGGCAGAGGAAGTGGGAGAAGCAAATGTGGGGCTGGACTCCAGGATCCTGGAATCATGACTTAAGCAGAAGGCAGATGGTTAACCGACTGAGCCACACGGGTGTCCCACCATAGAGCAATCTAATAACTCACCTAGGGTCACAGAATTCATAAGGTTTGGAGCTGGGATTCAGACTTACATTTGATCTGATACCGAGGTTCATTTACTTCCTGTGTATGCTCTAGAGTCATTTGGTTTATTCACATATTTGTAAATTATAAGTAAAAGCAAAAGTAGAACTGGGTTCTATGGTGTGAAGTATAGTATTTTTTAAAGGAGCATGGTAGAGTTTGTCTTCTGGGAAACTTCTTGGGATTTATAGAAACTTTATTCCCGGGCACCTGGGTGGCTCAGTGGATTAAGCCACTGCCTTCAGCTCGGGTCATGATCTCAGGGTCGTGGGATTGAGCCCCACATTGGGCTCTCTGCTCAGCAGGGAGCCTGCTTCCCTCTCTCTCTCTGCCTACTTGTGATCTCTCTCTCTGTCAAATAAATAAATAAAATCTTAAAAAAAAAAAAGAAACTTTATTCCCTTTGGGGGCAAAAGGGGAAATTTCTGGTTCAGGTGACCTACTTTGCTTTTAAAGTATGCATAAGTTGGGCACAGCATAAGGATTACGGCAAAGTCCTTGTAGGATTCAGGAATGATGATGTGATTAATGTCTTGATTTAACAGTGATGACAGCATACAATAATTAGCAACTTAATAAGTTAAATATCATTAATATGTCTTTTGGGAAGGATTCTTTGTCAGATTAAGTAAGACTCTGTGCTTTGATTGCCTATGACGTTTTGAACTGAGCTAAGCTCTTCACTCTGAGGATCAAATCCCAAAGTCCTAGCTTTACTCATCTGTCATTTCTTTGACTCCTTAGGGAATCCTGACTTTAATGAAGACAAATCTTATTACTTTAAACATTTTTTCTTGGCAATAAAAATCTAACCAGGACTCTAATGAACTAGAAAATGATTATGTCCTATTAAAGGTATTGGTTGGTATTAGTTGCTTTTGGGACCTTTTATTATACTTTTCTTGGGTGGTAGAAATATAAGAAATACTGATTCTTTGGGGCTCCCTGAAAAATCTGGGAGTCTGCAGGCAGGGCAAAATACAAGATGATCTCAGACATTTTGTTGGGCCAAAAAGTAATGGGTGTGTATTACAGGAAATTCAAGTCCGCTTGAAGGGACCCCTCCTATCAAAATTGGGGAACTGTTTGAATATTAAAAAAGAATATTGACTGTGACTAACGGAAAGAAGAGACCTTGATAGTCACTTCAGGGAAATAATTCATTGTAGAAGTAGTGTATCCAGGTTAAGGACTTGATTCAGGTTTGAATCATGACTCCATTATCTTTTTTTTTTTTTTTTTTAAGATTTATTTTCTTATTTGAGAGAGAGAGAAAAAGAGAGAGAGAGAGGAACCCAAGTAGACTCCATGCTGAGTGGTGTGGAGTCTTATGCCAGACTTGATCTCAGCATCCTGAGATCATGACCTGAGCCAAAACCAAGAGTCAGATGCTTAACCAACTGTGCCACCCAAGCACTCTTCCATTATCTTTTCTGTTAAGGTCTTAAACCTTTCCATGCCTCAGTTTCCATGTCTCTAAAATGGTGGTAATAATAATAATAATAATAACAACAATACCTACCTCAGAGTAGTGATAAGAGAATCCTCTTAACTAAGATGTATGCAAAGTGTTTAAAATAGTCCCTGGTACATAGCATGTGCTAAGTATGTCCTATTTGTTATTATTACTTTTATTATTATTGTCTGTAATACTATACAAGCCTTGGGATTTTGTTGTTTTTATGGCCAATTGTTTTCCCCTTTTCCTTATCTTTATTGAGTATAATTGATCTGTAACATTGTGTACATTTAAGGTGTACAACATATTGACTTGATACACATATATTGTGAAATGATTACCAGAGTTGTGCTAGCTAACACCTCTGTCACCTCACTTAATTACCATTTCCTTGTTGTGGTGAGAATGTTTAAGATCTACTCTCTTTTACCCTTTGACCAACATCTCCTCATTTCCCCCAACCCTCTAGGCCCTGACAGCTGCTACCATTTCTACTCTCTTTCCTTGTAGTGTCTTTTTTTTTTTTTTAAGATTTTATTTATTTATTTGAGAGAGACCAAGAGTGAGAGTGATCACAGAGAGAGAGGGAGAAACAGACTCCTTGCTGAGGGTAGAGCCTGATGTGGGGCTCCATCCCAGGACCATGAGATCATGACCTGAGCCAAAGACAGATGCTTAACTGACTGAACCATCAAGGTGTTCCTCCTTGTAGTGTCCTTAACTAGCTTTGGTATCAGGGTAATGCTGGCCTTATAAAATGTGTTTGGGATTGTTCTCTCCTCTTCTTCTTCTTCTTCTTCTTTTTTTTTTTTTTGGAAGAGTTTGAGAAGGATTGGTATTAACTTGTCTTTGGTAATTGGTAATTGGTAGAATTTACCAGGGAAACCATCTGGTCCTGGGTTTTTCATTGTTGGGAGATTTCTGATTACTGATTCAATCTCCTTGTTATTCGATTTTCTATTTCTTCATAATTTAGCCTTCGTAGGTTGTGTATTTCTAGGAATTTATCCATTTCTTCTAGGTTATCCAATCTGTTGACATAATTGTTCATAGTACTCTTTTATGATCCTTTGTATATTTGTGATATCAGATGTAATGTCTCCTTTTTCTCTTCTGATTTAATTTATTTGAGTCTTCTCTCTTTGTTCTTACTTTGTCTATCTAAAGCTTTGTCAGTTTTCTTTGTCTTTTCAAAAAAACCAGCCCTTGGTTTCATTGATTCTTTTCTATTGCTTTTCTGGTCTTTATTTCATTATTTCTGCTCTGATCTTTGTTATTTCCTTCCTTCTGCTAACTTTGCAGCCCTGGGCTTTCATACTCTGGACTTAAAAAAAAAAACAAACCAGGAGTGCACTTCTCATTGGATTTTTATTATAGCTGAGTTGCTGTCAAATACAGTAAGTCATTTCAGAGGTCCATGTGATACCAGGAAGATGGTGAAATAAAAAGTTGTCAGGGACGCTTGGGTGGCTCAGTTGGTTAGGCAGCTGCCTTCGGCTCAGGTCGTGATCCCAGCGTCCTGGGATCGAGTCCCACATCGGGCTCCTTGCTCATCGGGGAGCCTGCTTCTCCCTCTGCCTCTGCCTGCCATTCTGTCTGCCTGTGCTTGCTCTCTCTCCCTCTCTCTCTCTCTGACAAATAAATAAAAAAATAAAATCTTTAAAAAAAAAAAAGTTGTCAGATAGAAAATCCATGGAAATCTCTCTGTTATGTTAAGAGCAGTTCCGTGATTCACTGGCGTGTGAGACTTCAGAGCCAAGCAGAGGGATTGGGTGGGAGCTGTGGGGTGAGGGATGGGCGTCCCGATGCAGAGGCCACAGCTGGCCTTGGCAGTGTTTCCTAATTGAGAATCAGTACTGAAAATGGGATAGTGCTCCCAATGAAGAGATGATTGAAGGATGAGAGTAGACACCCCAGAGGCCCAGGGGATTAAGGAGCAACCTGGACAGGGACTCTTAGGGAGAAGGGACCATGTAGTCAGCAAACCCTTAGTGTTGAGTTGGGCCAGTTGAAGTTTGCTTGGCTGTTGATTTCCCTGCGTGACCCCCAGGAAGTGCCTCATCAAGAAGCCTGTGAGGAATCACGTCCTTACCTGCCCTTCTTCCTTTCTGGAGCCTTTTAAGACATTTGTCTTAATCCAACTCCAATTCATGTTCATTGAAATTGTATCTGAAGTAGTATTAATTCAACCATAAAACTTAGCCTTCCTTTAACTCCTTTGGAAAACCCACATAAAGGAGTGGAGAAAGAGCATTTCTGTGTCCAGGTCAATCTCACATTTCATTGTTAAAACAATCTATGTTTCTAGAAACTGTGTTTAGTACCAAATGCAGCTTCAGTTTTCTTAAGGTACGATAATCACACAGGTAGGGTTTGTAGTTTAGATTGTCACCAAATGCAAAACTTGCCTGGGACAGAGCAAATGCCTATATCAAGGGAGTTGGTCTTATTTTAAGCTTTCCACTAGCATAGCTGGCCTTATGACACAGTCTGAAGGTCGAATAGATTGTGCACGCACTTGGGTACATTATTTCATTTTTCTGAAACTCAGTTTCTCCGTACATTGGAGGTTGCACGTGGCAGCTGTGAGCATAGACCAGTCCCTGTTTAGTTCTCCCCCGCCCTTTTTTTTTTTAATTTAGAAAATTGTTTTAGAGGGAGTTTATGTTCCCTGCAAAGTGAGGGGAGGGTACAGCGATTTCCCATATTTCGCCAGCCTCCACACCTAT